AAACAACTAACAGCACTTAACAACAACAACAAAAAATTTTTTTTAATGTTTTATTGTGAATTGTGTGATAGTTTACATGGGAGAACATTTAGTTTTACATTCATCCTATCTTATATTGTTTCATTGCCATGGTTACAGTCCCCTTTATGCATCATCAGCCAACCAAAGGGTATACCCTACAAGCCTGACCCCTCGATCTTCAGCACACAGTCCCTCTCCCTCTCTGGATCTGAAGTCCCCAGCTGCTCCATCCCTTCACATCATCATCTCTGCCTCCATCTCAGACATCACTGCTTCTCTGGGTAGGGTCCAGCTCTCCGCTTTTCTCCCTTAATGGTCCCAGGGACCTCCACTCCTAGACTGCAAAGTTGATCACTCCCCTCCTTGCTATAAAACATCTGCCTTTACATTTTCAACTCTCACAATCAGTCCTGATAACAATTATTCACTATTGTATCATAAGAGACCTATCCGCATTTCTTTTTATCAGTCCCGCCTAGACATATTGGATACTACTCCCTGGAGAGTCTACCTTCCTCCACACCTTCTGGATTTAGGTTCCCTCTTGAAAGCTTGTAAACCAGTCACTTCTTGCCTTTGTAGTCCCCGCAGCTTGGATAGCCAATGTCCAAGGTGCCCATCCCTGTCTACTCTGTGTACAGAGGAGGTGGGAATGATCCTCGTTGTAAAGATTTGTTCCCTCTTTTGAGCTACTGCATCCATAGGCGTAGGTCAAATTCATCCAATTGTATCAGATTACTCTTTTTTTCTACTTCTTTCTTCTTCTAGTTGAGGTCTGATCGTCCAGTAATTGAAGCCAGGTCAAGTGGGTATTATCTACAAGTGTGGGTGTGCTTGTGCATATGTCCTCTCTTCTTATCAGCTGGATGCTTCACTCTCCACTCTAGTCCTCTGTGGCTATGTCACTCTGTGCCCAAGATTCCCCAGGTCTTGCCACACTGCTGGCCAACCAGGACTCCATCTGAGTTCACAGGAGTCTATTGAATGTTGTTGGGCTTAGTTCACAGCTTCATTGCTGTTTTTCTCTCACTTCCCCTTATTGGTGACGAACGTGGTCACCAATCAGAGCATGTATTCCCATTGAGTCTTAGTCTTGGAAGGGAGTTTGCTCTGAGGGGACCCAACCACTTGCCTTGATGTCTCCTGGGCGAGCAACTTGCTTGTTCTTATAGTAAACAGTTGGTCTGCCTGTATTGTTTTGTATTTTTCCTGTAGGTCTTTCTTTCAAGAAGTATCTTCTGTTTTTCTAGCTGTTCCAGGCTGGTCTGCTCATCCTTTCAAGTGGAAATTTCCCACCTCTGAAGATTCTGGATGCTGTTCAGGATTCCACCTATAGTCTTATGTAATGCAGAGGCTCCACAGAAAGCCTCCTTACTGGGCACATTATAGCCCCATTTTAGGTATTCCAATCAGTTATAGGCAGAAGACAGACTTACAAGCTTCCTATGGTTATATTTCTGCTTATTCCTTTCTCTCCCCATCAAGTGTCTATTTTATAATGGTATGCAAGGGAAACCAAGATTCAAAAGACAGCCAAGCATCTTAACATTATTTCCCATTCCAGCCATGTCGCAATCTCTGTACCCCAGAGCCCTGTTGTTCCAAGGTTGTGCATACATCATTATTTACCTCTTTCCCACTTAGCCCATGCAAACCTGCCTGATTGTTCCCCCATCTGCTTTGTTCTTCCATTCTCCTCCTCCTTCTTGTGTATTGACCCCCTCCCCACACCAAAACTATCCTGTGTCTATTCCCTGCCCTGTGCTCCACCTTCCCCTCCCTTCCCTCATCTCACCCCCCCACATCCCAGCAACCAGCAAAGAATCTCCCCCACTAGTATGGGTTCTTTTACTTAGTCTTTTACAGTAGTGGTCCTATGCAGTATTTCTCCTTTAACAACAACATATTTTGAGTGAAAGAAAGATCTGGTAGTCTGTGCCTATAAAGACTATTGTTGTTGTTGTTGTTATTGTGCCATCAAGTCAAGTGGGTTCCGACTCATAGTGACCCTTTATAAGGTTTCTGAGGAGCAGCTGCTGAGCTTGAACCACCAACCTTGTGGTTTAAATCAACCTTGCAGACCAGTACATTAGCCCACAACACTACACCATGACTCCCCAGTAAAGACTACAACACTTTGGGGCAGTTCTAATCTGTCACTTGTGCTTGCTAACGAACACCTCCTCCCCACACACACTACCACACATATTTTGAACTATGCATATAATGCTATTTATTTGTTGTTCTTCTTAAATGTTAACTTTTGTCATTCTACGCCTATCCATTACAGATGCAACGAGCAACTGGTTGCTATCTTTTTAGTATTAACTTTCGAAATGATTGTCTAAGAACCATCTCTCGGCTTCTCTTTAGACAAAATAAACCTAATTCCTCTGAGGATTATTCTAAAACCTTATGTTGTGGAGTCTAAAACGACATATACAGGGCTGGTTCAAAAAGCTGCTCAGAGCAGTACATCTAACACAAATCACTGGGATTTTGTTATAGTGCAAATTCTGGCGCAGGTCTGGGTAGGCCTGAGATGTTGCATTTCTAACAAGCTCTAGGGTCATGGCCGATACTGCTCATGCATGCATCATGGCATAGTTTTAGAAAATGTTTCAAGATAAGGAGTTAAGATAAAAATAAGTAAAGATATGTCTGGCCAGAGATTAGACATTCTTTACCCCCTCCCAAGGTAGCGTAGTGGTTACGAATCGGGCTGCGAACCTTAAGGTCAGCGGTTTGAAACTACCAGCTGCTCCGCGGGAGAAAGATGAGGCTTTCTACTCCTGTAAAGATTTACACCCCTTGGAAACCCTGTACTGGGTCGCTATGGGTCGGAACTGACTCTATGGCACTTAACAACAACAACAACAACCCTGATAGTGAGTATTCTGTGTGTCATAGGGAGCTGGGATAAGGTGTGCAGCCACCTAATTGAGGTTGTGCTGTGATTTCCTGAGGCCTCTGGCCACTGAGTAATAGAAAAGCACATCTTGGCAGTGAGGAGTCTTCCTTTTGGCATGCTGCCTGTATCTAACAGGTTTGTGTAACAGTTGTGTTCTAGGAATGGCTTCCAAGCCTATAATGTGCTATCAGGAGTTGGCAGAAAATTTATCTTTGGCTTTTAAGATTCCTGTTAAAAATTCTCATTACTTGTAGGTGTCTCAGCATGTTGAGTGACCTGCCCAAGACCTACTGAAGGAGTCTGCCACAGTGAAATGTCACTGTCTCCTTTTTCTGTTTGATCATTTTCCTGGTAATTTAGATGGATTTTTTTCTTGGCTTCTCTATGATCTTCTATTCTGTAGATATTCTTGTAGACCAAAGACAGGAAAGCATTTGTTGCTGAAAGAATTATTTTCATTGTCCTCCTAGAGAACTTTCCTATGGAATTCCCCATTGGATTGAAACAATGACTTTTAAATCAAGAGATCTTACTCAGTGTTTTGTCTCAATACAAACTGGGAAATGGTGATGCTGTCAGCTTGGCAAGGTGTTTGGTTCTTTGGTTTTCAAATTCAGGTATATCAATCATCTGGAAGTTTTGTTAAAATGAAAATTGCTAGGGTCTACCCCTAGAGTTTCTGATTCAGTAGGTCTGGAACCCAGTTTAAAAAAACAAAACTGTCTTAACTACCTAGTGCTGCTAGAACAGAAATACCAGAAATTAATGGTTTAACAGAAAGAAATGCATTCACTCACAGCTTATGAGGCTAGAAGTGTGAATTCAGAGTGCCAACTCTGGAGAGAGGTCTTTATCTTCTCTCAGTATCTATAGACCTGGCATTCCTTGGTGATCTCCGTGTGTCTTGGCATCAACTTTTCCCTGGATGTACGAGCTTCCTGGTAGGAACTTCAGGTCCAAAGGCTGTTCTTTCTTGGTGTTAGTACCCCCGCCCCTTCTTACTGCTCTCTCTTTATCTCTCATACGATACTAGGTGTTGCAGGCCACACGACTGCCAAACTGCTTAGAATCATGACCCAGCCAAGTTGACACGTATTTTGGGGGCAGACACAATTCAGTCTGTTACACAAACAAACAAGCAAAACCAATTGCTGTCAGGTTGGCCCAATGCCACATAGTCCCGTGTATGTGTGTTAGAGTAGAACACAGTAGAACTGTGTATTCAATGGTTGGTTTTGTTTTTTTAAGTAGATCTCCAGGCCTTAACAAGGCACCTCTGTGTGGTCTTGAACCTCCAACCTCTCAGTTCAGCACATTCACTGATAGTACCACCTGGGATTCCAAGATCTGGAACATAGTCTGAGAATTTGCTGTAACAGTCCTGTTCCTTCCCATGTCCTCAGATGTGTTTGTAAAAAAGGCAGTCAATGGTAACCAGGAAGGTGGGTACATGTTCACAATAGCATACACACTATTGATCACAAGACCATCATTACCTCCCAATGCTCATAGATTTGCTCGTTGCCTTGTAATTTCATCATACTTTTAAACACTGAGAGCAAGGAAGCAACAACTTTCCGTGCAGTCAGTTCCCTTTATGTTAACCCAGCTCGTTTCCCATGAGACATCTTGATTTATGTTAGAGACCCATCCTTCTAAAGTAAGTCTATATGGACACATGGAATGAGGGCAGTTGGGAAACATCTTTCCTACCTACTCTCCTACCACTCAAATACATGCTTTTCAAGATTCTTATTTTTTTTTCCCCTTGACGAAGTTTGCATGACTTGGCTATTTCTATCCCTTTGAATCCCTAAGTGGAATCCTGGTGTAGTGCTGTAGGATAAGCACTGGATTCCTAACTTCGAGGTTGGCAGTTCAAACCCACCAGCTCCTTGGAAATCCTATACAGGGTTGCTATGGGTCGGAAGTGACACTACAGCACTTAACAACAACAAATTCCGTAGCTGTGTCTTGCTTAAATTACAAGGATAATAAGATGGTTTTGTTTGTGCTGGTACTCCTTTGATTAAAGGTGACGACTGATTGTTACATTCTGTCGCCACAGTTCTGGAGCCTCCCAGGAGAGGCACAGTGATCTGGAGCTGGGTCTGGATGACCTTCCCTCAGATGAGGAGGAAGCCATCAACAGTTCTGATGAAGATGACGTCAGCTCTGGTTCTAGTAAAGGAGAACCCGACCCCCTGGAAGACAAACAAGTAAGTTTTTGTAAAGCACAGCTTTTTAAAAATCATTTTTTAAAACATGATTTTATGTTTTCTAAGAATAGTCAAATATCTATTTTCATTTAGAATCACATTTCTTTAAATAAAGACATAAGTAGGGGGGAAAGTAGTCCATCAGCAGTACCCCCAGGATGGTGTGGAATGTTTCAGTGAGTGGAATCTGTGGGGATCTGCACAGCATATTGAGACATGGAGGAAGTCCATGTCACCTAATTCCTATGCTATAATGTATCAATAGGTGATGCTTCCTATTTAAACTGTTTTACTCTGTTTAATTCATTTGTGCTCGTTAATGAATGGTGCATGGTGATTTTTCAGCTTGTATATTGTTGCTAGATTAGAGTGGCTTTGGAGTCCAACTGTCTTGGTTTAAATCTCAGCTTCACCACTTATGATCTGGGTCCAAAACCAAAACAACCCTGTTGCCACCAAGTTTATTCCACCTCGTAGGATAAGGTAAAACTTCCTCATATGGTCTCTGAGGCTAAAATCTTTCTGGAAGCTGACAATTACATCTTTCTCTTATGGAGCAAGTAGCCTATGGGTTTGAACCACTAACCTTTCAGTTAGCATTTAAGCTAGTAAAAACCTCATCATCATACTCACTTATGATCTGGGTAGCTTTGAGCTAATTATTTAACCTTTGGGCTAAAAAGCCCTATCTTAGATGAAGAAAATAATAGTACTTACAAGATTGTGAGGATTGTGATTTGGCATATGTTGTGTTGCCTCGAATTTACTTGATATGACTTTTCTATCCAAAGTCACCTTAATTCTCACCAAGTGATTGGTGACCATGAAAATAAAGTATACAGAACTCTAAGGCTGGGATAGGTTAGTTTTGCCCTCCAGCTAGGCTTAAAAGGAACCACCTCAGAAGTAGAGATGGAAGATGGTCCCGGGACCATCAAGAAGGAAGAGCATGAGTGTCATGTGCGATCCCTCCCTAGATAAACAGCGATGGCAGAGGCGGTGGCATGAGGACACAGATTCACTTCGGGCTCTAGACCCATGGACTGAATAAAGCTGAGTACCTATGGGCTTACAGACTGGCTTATAGAATGTGCCCTGTAGGCGCTCACAGACTGACTAAAAGAGGACATGGCTGAGAGGCAGAAGACAAGAGTGAGGCATGCCTGCAGTGTGGCACACAAGAGGTCTTTCTGACTGGAGAACTACTGTGTTGTGAGTTGATTTTGAACCTGAATTGTGCCCTGTTCACTTCCCTAATAGACCCCATAATTATGAGAATTATTATGAGTTCTGTGTGCCCATTGCAATGGATTATCAAACCCAGATGTGAAGCTGCCAGTGCTGTGGGAGGGATGGCTGGTGTCAGGATAGGGGAAAGAAGGGTGTAAGGTAGAAGAGTGTCTGACCCCTGTTTCACAGGAATAGGTCTTGGGCTGATTTTGAGTTTGATTCTCTTTCCTGCTTATGAAGCCAGGGGAAGTCAGATATGTCAGATATGCATATGTAAAGCCCTAGAACACACATAACATGTTACATACATGCATATGTTACATGCATAGAACATATGCATATGTAAAGCCCTAGAATATTGCCAAGCATGGATGTAAGTGTGCAATGATCATTTATTTTTTATTACTAGCAAGATTTGATTTCTGTTCTGTGAAATGTTGAATCATGGAGTTGGGAGTAACTGCTAGAAATTGTTTAGCATTAAAGCAGGTGAGTGTATAAGGCTGAAGAATAACCTTGTTCTTAAAGATGTACAGCTTCCCTCCACAATCTCTGGGTTTTATCTGGATCTGTGTCTCCCTAGCATCTCTGTCTTGCTCTAATTTGCAAACTCACTTTCTATGTTGCTTCTTCATGGACCTAGACTCTAGAGATCTTTCTAGAACATCCACTGTGGTTCAGGTTTCTAGTTTTGTGCTAGAGATAAAGCAGTGTTCCAAGTCATCTCTTCTCTAGTGGAGCTTACATGCTAATGGGGCAAGAGGGGCCATGAACAAATTAACACTAAGAACTTAAGGGATTTCTGTGTTAATGAAAGAAATAAAGCAGAGCGATGTGCTAGAAATTGTAAAGCACTGGACTGCAAAGTCGGTTTGAACCATAGGGTCGGCGGTTCAAATTCACCAGCTGCTTCTCGGAAACCCTATACAATGTGGCTCTGAGTCAGAACCCATTCGATGGCACTTAACAATAACAACATATTGCATAAAGTCTCTGGGAAAGTCTCTGGGAAAGCGATATTTTACTGAGACTTAAATGAATGTAAGAGATAAGCAGATTCAAACTGTTTTCTTCCCAAAAATCAAACAAATCAAATTGATTCTCCCTCATAGTAACTGCCTCATCAGGTTTCCAAAGCTGTAAATCTTTACAAAGCCGACTGCCACATCTTTCTCCCACAAAGCAGATTTATGCATCTTTCTCCCAAGGAGTGGCTGGTGGGTTCAAACTGCCGACCTTTTAGTTAACAGTCTACTGCTTAAATGACAGTGCCACCAGGGCTCCTGTGTGCTGTAGTTAATCATTCTTTATTCTCTTTGATAACCAACAATCCCAAGATGGTCATATTTCCCCTAACAGATGTGTCTACTGCTTAACTCCTTTTCATTCTTTTCCCTATACTTATGGTGAACAAAACTAGTTTCTGTGTTCTACTAGGGATCTCCCTAATTCACCTTATCAATGAAGGTTTAAGGAGAAATTGCTAAGCTTTTTGTATCAGGCATCTTCTCTACACATCCTGTCCTAACACTGCCTGACTAACTTACTCTTTTGTGGTCAGTGGAGACTCCCAGGGTTCCTTCCTTGAATTTGGGCCTTTCATTTTCCCTTCCTGTATTTATATTATTGTATTTTGCCCTGAGTTGTGCCTCATTGCAGTATTCACCCTTTCACATTGTGATTATTTCTTCAGTTAATCACGCATTCATATTTATCATTTTTGTGCATGATGCCAATAGATTGTCTCTTTAGAATTCTCAGCCATTCTGATGAACTGATTATCTGTTCATCTGAGACATCTGAGATACTAGAATGGACAAATTCTGCAGTGTTTGGCAGTTGTTAGTCCATCTAACCATAGCCTGGTGAGTTATTTTCTGTTAAGTAATTTGCTGTCGTGGTGGTTATGAAGAACTCAGTCTCTGGAGCCAGGTTGTCTGGGTTCTCCCCCACTTACTAGCTCTGGCATCTGGATCACTGTATTAACTTTTGTGTCTCAGTATCTCCATCTGTATTGTTGTAAGGATTAAATAATTAATTATATGCTGTTTAGAACAATTCCTGACACATATGAGTGCGTGGAATTCTTAAGTCTTTATTTTTATTTTGTTGCTGCTGTTAAGAATATACCCAACAAAGCATACAGCAGTTCAGTGGTGTCTGCATTTGATCATTTAGTGCTATTGAGTGCATTCTCTGAGTTATACAACCATTTCCACTTTCCTTTTAGGAATTGTTCTTCCCTGAGCTAATTAATGTTAATGGAGGTGGAACCACTTAAAACAAAAGGTGATGCTGGTTGTATAACTTGATAATATAATCCTTGTCACTAAATGGTAACTGCCCTCTAAGGTGTCTATCAAAAGGAGTCTTGGTGGTATAGTGAGGTAAGCATTGGAAAGCTAACTGAAAGATTAGGTAGGGGTTTGAATTCATGAGCAGCTTCCAAGAGAACAATGTGGCAGTCTATTTCCGTAAAGATTTACATCAATTCTACTTGTCTTATAGTGTCGCTATGAGTTGAAATTGACTCGAGAACAGTACATTTGGTTTTTGTGTTTAAGTTTCCTATTTAATCTTTTTGAATCCTGGTGTAGCACTGAAGAATAACACTGTGCTACTTACTAGCTGCAAGATTGACAGTTCAAACCTACCAGCTGTTCCTAGGAAACCCTATACAAGTCACTATGCATCAGAATCACCTTGACAGCACTTAACAGCAACATTTAAACTTTTAACCTGTTGTCAGTTTCATCTCATTTGTTGTTGTTGTTAAGTACTGTTGAGTTAGTTCCAACTCATAGCAACCCCGTTTTGGGTTTCCGAGGAGAGGCTGGTGTGTGCCAACCTTGTGGTTCATATTCCATTGCTTATCCGGTGCTTATCCTACAGCACCATATCAGTTTGATCCCATATAGATAGTTCTTAAAAGAGCATAATGCTCAAGACATTTTTTTACTAGTTAAGCTAAACAAACTCTTTCTTGGTTTTAGGAATACTTAAGGAGATATTTTTGGCTTAGGGGTTAAGGAGTATCTCAGCAGTAGTTTCAGAGATTAATCTGGAGTCCATGAGAATTTGAAATTCTGTCCTGCATTTCCCCCTTTTGATTGGTGTTTTTTTATAGTGTAGTAATAGTGGACAGGCAACATCCAGTACCTTCAATCTCACGACCAAGTAGGCAATTCCATGGAAGCAATTAGCCACATGTTTCACATCAGCTTGATGCTTCTTCTGCCTCTGTTTCTCCAGATGAATAAAAACCAATTGTTGTGCCTTATATGGCCACATGCAAGCTTTTAAGATGCCAGGTTGTTGTTGTTAAGTGCCATCGAGTCAGTTCCGACCCATAGCAACCCTGTACAGGGTTTCCAAGGAGCAGCTGGTGAGCTTGAACCACCAACCTTGCAGTTCAGACGGCTTTGCAGTCTGGCAAGACACCAAATCCCCATAGCAGCTACATTTTTTGCCCCATTGTTGTAAATATGTCCACCACAGTTTTTGCCAACTCAACTCCTTACAGGTGTGTACAACATACTGACAGCATTTACAATAATTGGCTGTGCAACCCCACCCTGAATCAGTGAGATATAACCATCCCTGTTTGCCCTCTTCCCCCCTCACAACTACTGTATCCTTTTGCATTTCCACCTGCAATGTGTAACAGTTCCAATTTTTCAACATCCTTGCCAACATTTGTTATTTTCAGTTGTTGTTGTTTTTTAAAGTCTTGTTGTTGTTGTCAGGTGCCATCAAGTCGGAACCGACTC